GATTCTCAGTATAGTGCTTTAACCCACTGCGCCACCAGGGAGGGCCAGACTAGTGTTTTTAACCATCCTAACAGGTACACACTGGTATCAGATCAGGATTTCAGTTTCTATCTCCCTAATAACCAATTATGCTGAACATTTCTTGAGATACTAATTTGTTGCCTATCTGTTCTCTTTGATGAAATGTCTATTCAAGACTTTGACTCATTTTTAAATTGAGATTTTTTTACTCTAAATCTTTTCTTGTTCTTTATAGAGTCCTTTATTAAATATGGGATTTACAAATATTTTCTCCCATACTGGAGTTTGTCTCCATTTTCTTAAGCATCTTGGTAAGTTTAAAACTTAAGCAAAGTCGAATTTATCAATATGTTGTAGGCTGTGATTTTAGTGTCTAAAATCTCTTTGCCTAATCTGAAGTCACAAAAATTTCATCTTACGCATTCTAAAAGTTTTATAGTTTTTCACATTTAAATACCTGACTTGTTAGCTATTTTCGTGAGAGATTTGAGGTTTCAATTGAGGTTCATTTATTGTATATACAGGTAGCTGATAGCTCTGAAACTATTGAAAAGGCGTTCATTTCTCCACTGAATTTCTTCTGTTTCTGAATTTCTTCTATTTCTCTAAAGACTGTGCAGAATTGATGTGATTTCTTCTTCACATATTTGGTAACATTCATGGTGAAATCATCTTGGCCTGCAAATTGATATTTCAGAAGGCATTTAAAACATTAATTCTTTGATAGTTATGGGGCTTCTTCCACAAATTTTAGTAAGTGGTATTTTCATGTTGAATCAATTCATACTATATTTTGGTGAAACAGCAGGGCGAGAGTCCTGTGGCTTGTCAATCAGACCCCTTGTGGTATCCAAAGGTCCTTGATGTAGGCCCTGGCACCACGGGGGCTCCAGATGTGGCTGTTTGCAGGCAGGTGCAGGAGACTGAGTGGGTGGTACTTCCTGGTATAGCTGGGACAACTGGAGGGACCCTCTTCTGGTCCATGAGTTAGACATGAGACTTTATAACAACTCCTTCACTACTCAGGATGCACACTTCCAGTCCCATCAAACTGAATCAAGAAACAGGCAAGGCAGTACTGAATGACTGTGGGAGCTTCCATTATTTAGTTAATGCTATCTTGCTAAATACATGTCTAGAACTTGTTGACGAAACTATTTTTATGCATTCAAGATTTTTGATCAAATGAGCTTGGGGATATGTTCTCAGTGCTAGCAGTATAGCAATGAAAAAACCAGGTAACAGTCAAAGCCCTTAGAATTTACATTCTAATTTGGGAGAGAGGCAACAGGCAAAGACCAAAGCAGTGTGATAAAGAGAAAGGGAGGCGATACTTTATGGATTAGTATGGGGGTGCAGACTAGACTAACTGGTGTGAAAGTCTGGGTCTGATAAAAAAAGTACCATAAGTAGAACACACACAAACACTCACACTCCTGTAATACTTGAAATAAAGACGGGGCGTTTTAGGGTTTGTAGAGGCTGTTCCTTTGAGTCTGGAAGTTGAGAAGCAACGATGGATGTGGGGGTGGGGGTAAGGATACAGTGAATGTGCCAGTGTGGAATGAACTCAAGGGTAACTGAACTCACGGGGACAAACAGGCTCCCATGCCCATCTCCTACTTCCCCAAGTCTCCAACCTCATTGACAGGGTTTCCCTGCAGAACCTGACCCCTTTATCACAGTCAGAGAAGAAGAGCAAGGGGACCCTGAAGGAGCTGCATTCCCATGCGTCTGGCTAGTGGCTGAGGCCAAGATGAGCAGGCAGATAAGCAGCGACGTGGGTGAGCACAGTTCACGTGATCCTTGGGCCTTCCGAATATAAAGAATCTGGCTCCTTCTGAACCTCACTGTGAAGATCTCTTGGGACCCACATTCCCCTGGAACTGAGCTGAGGGAGTTCTGAGGAACACCTCTGCAGCCACACTGGCACCGTGTCAGCCTGCCGCAGATGACCCAGGGTCTCTGAAAGGTATTTGCGCTGAGAACCTGATGAATCAGCCAGTCAGCCATGCCAAGGCTGGAAGAAAATAGTCCAGGCAGATGTGGCTAGTGCAAAGGTCCTGCAGCAGTGAAAGAATTTTTGAGGATGAGGCTGGGGCGTGGTGGTTTGATGGGAGACAGGCAGGACCAGAAGCGGGGGGCCTGGAGAACGTGGTCCCAGTGGGGTCACTTGTTATCTAAGTGTACTGAGATAGGAATGGAGAAAAGGAGTTTTTTTTTTTAAGGTAAACTTTTTTTTTTTAAGATTTATTTATTTATTCGTACAGAACTGGGGTACAGGCCAGAGATGCGGAGGGTGAGAGGATTCACCAGAGACAGAGTGGGGAGCAGAACAGGCAGATCGACGAAGCACACTGCTGAGGGGAGCAGCGGGCGGGTCAGGAGAGGTCTGCCACGCCATGTGGTCTCCTCCAGGGCAGGCGGGGATCGAACTCATGCGGAAGTGGCTTTAGCTTCTCAGTGCTGTGCTTTAACCCGCTGCGCCACCAGGGAGGGCCGAGAAAAGGAGTTTTTAACAGGGCAGTAGACGTTCGACCTGACTTATGTATCTTTCACTCTAAGTATTTTTAAATTTTAAGAAAGGCGTGAGGTTTAGTACAACAGAGTCCATCCTGAGGGTGACTCTCTTTGCTTTGTGGGGGCAGCACCCCTGCAGTGCGCTGTGTGACGCCCCCGGGTGGGGCAGAGGCTGCATGTGGGCAGGCGGCATTGTTGTTACAGGTGCTGCTGGGGGGACTCAGGCGAGCACCTTCCAAGTGGATGTTCAGGTCTCAGGAAAATCAGTCTCCATTCGAGAATTCATGTTGGAACCCAAAACTGTTACCTCTTCAGGTCTGGTCTCAAAATTGATTGGTTAGCACATCAGTTGTCATTAACAGACAGAAAGGCCTCAAAGGCTGACGCCATTGACCTATTTAGAGAACATTTCTCCAGTTATTCCAGATTTGCAAAGAATTTGCAGGGGGCGTGCAGCTTCCTGAGGGAAACGTGTTGAAGGGACCAAGGTTTGTGTCAGGTCTCCAGATGTTACAGTTGACCTTGCCTTAGCATCTTCCATTTGAGATCAAGAGTAATTTCCCTACAGCAAGCTCTTCTGCCTAGCACATTTCTCCTTCCTAGCAGCAGACTAGCTGGGAAATAAAGGTTCCAACACTGAAGCACGCTGAGGTGCACAGAGATGTTCAAGTTCATTCTGACTTCAGAATCTGGGCTTAATGTTAAGCCAAGAGCCAAAATGAACTAAGATGCAGTCATTGTCACAGGAAGCACATGTACCCCACAGGGGTACATCAGGGGTGAAGCAGAGAAACGAGAGAGAAGCCACAGAGGAGTCATTTCTGCGCTGCTCTCACTTAAAGGGGCTGGGTTAGTGCAGGAGGGCTCAGAGATGGTGCCAAGGGCCTGAGCCCAGCGGGCCCTCCCCTCAGTAGGAATTAGCATTATCATACACATCCATGCAAATGAACATCTTCCTCTCCAGTCCTAAGGGAAGGAAATAAATGCTTCTAATGGAGGGGCAGGGAGCTCTGGAGAGGCCGCTCATCTTCTCTGGGAAGAAAGTAGAAAGTCAGAGAAAAAGCTTTATCCGCCAGAGAAGGAAAGGGGGAAATTAGAGTTGAGTGTATACACTTTCTTCTATAATGTGGTGACAGATGTGCGGGTCAACATTCAGAAAGAGAAAAGGGGGTGCTGTGTCATGACTAATGAACTGTGAGTTTTAACTCTAGTTATGGAATTTTATCAACAACTAATTCATATATCTATTAACAACTGCTTTCCTTCATTTAACATTAGCTACCGAATAACAAATTATCAGTAAAGCAATCACAAATGAAAAAATAATGAAAGTCAGAAAGCTTGTTGAAGTGCCACAGACACAGCACAGTCAGATATTTTACAACTGTTGATTAGTTTCTATGTTAGATTATTTGCCTCTCATTGTTTAGAGTTCACAAAATGTATGAGAAGTCTTCGCTTAGTTTTTTTTTTTTTTTTTTTTAACCCCAGCATGTGTTAAGCGACGTCTCGTCTGGACACAAGAATCAATGGGTGCACT